CTGGAATGGGGTGGGGAAAAAGTCGGAAATGAGGTGGAAAATAACGGGATTGGGGAAAAATATTGGGATGGGGAGGAAAAAAATCCCAAAACACGGCAAGAAAGCAACAAAACCCGGGGAAAAATATCAGGGTAGGGGCGGAAAAACAACGGGATGAGCTGGGAAAACCCTAAAATGAGGGAAAACCTAAAAAATGAGGTGGGAAAATATTGGGACTGGGGAGGAAAATGCCAAAATGAGGTGGGAAAAATCCCGGGATGAGAGGAAAAATATCAGGATGTGGTGGAAAAATCCTGAACCGGCGGGATGAGCCAGGAAAACCCTAAAATGAGGAAAAACCTAGAAAAATGAGATGGAAAAATATTGGGATTGGGGGAGGAAAACGCCGAAATGAGGCGGGAAAAATCCCGGGATGAGAGGAAAAAATATCAGGATGTGGCGGAAAAATACTGAACCGGCGGGATGAGCCGGGAAAACTGTAAAATTAGACAAAACCTAAAAAAATGAGGTGGGAAAATATTGGGATTGGGGAGGAAAACGCCAAAATGAGGCGGGAAAAATCCTGGGATGAGAGAAAAAATATCGGGATGTGGCGGAAAAATACTGAAAAAACAACGGGATGAGCCGGGAAAACCCTAAAATGAGGGAAAACCTAGAAAATGAGGTCGGAAAAATCCCGGGATGAGAGGAAAAATATCGGGATGTGGCGGAAAAATACTGAACCRGCGGGACGAGCTGGAAAAATACTGAAACGAGGCGGAAAAGCACCAAAACGAGAGTGGGGGAAAAAAATCCCGGGAAAAGGCCGGAATTTCGGGAAGGAGGAGGCRGCGCTTTTCCRGGCTGGAAATCTCGGAGYTTTTCCCRCAGCTCACAAGGAGAAGTAGTCCAGAGCTCCGTGTCCGTAGGGGTTGTAAGTCCACACCAGGTCGGTTCTGCCGGATTCCCGCAGCATCCGGGAAATCTCGGCGCTGGACGCCGCCAAGCGCTCGCCGTCCATGGGCTCCTCGTAGATCCTCCGCGATCCCGGCACGCGGCGCGGCGGCTCCGGTTTGTARCAATCGGCCGGGAAGGGRTAAACCACGAGGCGGAGCTCCGGCAGCGGCAGCGTTTGGCGGAGCAGCTCCTTGAGCGCGGCCGTGGACAGCGAGTTGCCGTAGAGTCCCAGGAAGCGCAGGCGGCAGCAGCGCAGCAGCGTGGGCAGCAGCGCGGCCAGGTGCGAGTCGGCCATGCGGCATTCCATCAGATCCAGGTGCAGCAGCGAGGCCGAGGTCTCCTCCAGCAGCAGCCGCAGCGGCTCCAGGAGGCCCCGCGAGAAGTCGTGGCCGCTCAGGTCCAAGCGCTTGAGGGCGGCGGCGTGGGAGCTCTGCGACAGGAAGGCCAG